ACATGTTCATAAGGTTTCAAACTTATTTATCTAAAATATTTTCGTCAAAACACAGTCACAATCTTAAAACAATTCTCTCAACTATTTAAAAGCATTAATTATTCAAATGTTTTTTGTTCATGGAGAAAGAAATGTTACCGCGGGAAAGGACGTCGGAATGACGTCACACGTTCACGTCATATTTTCGCACCCGCCATCTTAGTTGAAGTTTATTGAGGACGGTACGACAATGTCATTGTGCAGCAACAAATGGAACTGAATCATCGATCTGACCTCGGTTGCGGTAAGTTAACTTTACAGTCACTACACGGTTGTTGTTATGTTTATGTACATTTTGATATTCACTCGATCGTGCTACTCAGAAATCACGAAGTTTTGAGCAGCCGTACACGATCTCGAGTAGATTCGGTGTTGTTAGGTTTCCAACAGAGAGTATTATGTATGTTGTTGTGAAGGAGACCTAAGGGAGTTTGCACCATATTAATTTTATTTTGGATACCAAATTTTATTCAGCTATCAATTGCAAGCAGTATGTTCTTAACCAGAGTTCATGTCAAGCGGACATTTGTCGCTATTACGTTCGGTTTTCGATCTAGTAAGCGTATGCACAGCTCACAAGCCAGTGACACTTATCGTCATTAATTTTGTTCCCTGTTATTTCTGAAATATATAATTTTAATTTAACATTACAACTTGCTATCAAATTTTTAAGCTATGAAAAGTTTGCTCACTGCAGTCGGTGGAAAAGGTTGCATCAAATGTACACCACGAAAATGGGGAATTAAATACTTTCTGGTCGACCTGACTGTGGGCTATTATGTTACTGTCATAGTCTAAGTATGTTATTTAAAATGATTGTTCAGTCACAAATGACCAAAGCATACTTGGTAAATTACCGTAACACTGACTAAACTAAATGTTGATCATCCACATGTTTGTTGTGGTTTTGCTTGTCTAACATTACCACGTTATTTTCAGTAAAAGGCTAGGTCTATTTTCAAAATAAAGTGTTTACATTGTGTATTCTTCAATTTTCCCCAAACGAATCAATTTATCTTTTTCGGATATATATATATATATATTTCTCTTCTCAACGAGAGCCAGAAATAAACATGTTTCCCGCGCTATAACGGGGTGTTAGCGATGACTGGTCCTCGGCAATGTTCATTCGGTTTTCGATCACCATGTTTTTTTCATGATACAGTATTAATTATTCAAATTTACTTAGTCTTTGTTCAGGAAATGTAGACCAAATAAATTTCTTATGGTTTACTTAATTCACCGAAACATTTTGCCAATGAGAAAAAAATATAGTGATCGAAAACTGAACGAATCTGGTTACAATGCTCGCAACAAAATCATACTGTAGCAGTAACTTTTCTGAGTGTAAGACGTGAATCATGTAGCTAGTTACAATAGCTATTTAATATATCAATTCAAGTTTGTATTCCAGGTTAGAATGTATAGAAGCGCTGTCCAGTAATCCATGTCTATTGTAAAGGGGCAGAGTTATTTCCAACCCAACTTTATACACGTTGGTGTTAAATCTACACACGTTGACCCCCAAAAACTTTAGGCTATAATTATTACACAATATATTTCAGCATCGGACTAACTAGATTTATATATGCTTGGGGAATCTAGTTCAATTTTTAACTTGTTATAATGCGGAACATTGTTATTTTTGTTGCAGCAAGGGCGAATATGAGACACAAAGAATTCCGGCAGATGCAAACAGAAGCGATGGATTTATTGAGGATTACATCAAATAATCCAGGAGCTGTGAATCAGTAAACGTAAGTGCATCTGTTAAATGCCATTGTCTATATACTTGTTGATGACGTTTTGACTTTTTATTGCAAAATTGGATTTGTACCTGCACTCAGCCTCTGACCAACAAGAGTGATGGGGAAGTGGTTGCTATGCAATGTGATTTGATACTATTACCAAATTAGGCATTCAAGGATTTCCATTATTTTCCATTGTGTGCTGGTATCCATCAATTACTTGCATATACATAGGTGCTGGAAGACTTCATTAACTGATTATTATTGTCTCTTGATATGACTTAATATACACGTACTATACATTTGTTTTCTTTATTTCAGATAAATGGATAAAGTCGAAACCAAAGAAGAAGATTCTGAAATAATCTGGAAAAGTGTACGCGTTTTCTGAAAACAATTAATAAAGAGTGTTGATTATATGTCTGCCATTCTGTTTTTTATGTTCCTTGTTAAGAGTAACAATGTCTATTTTCCATAGACATGTAACCTTATTGTTAACGGTTAGTGTTTTACTGAAAAGTTAAAACCATATCTTGACAGAAAATGTTATTAAAACGTTTCCTGAACCATAAACATTCACATGGATAAAAGGTTTTCATAAGCCTTTTTGGTGGTTACTGAATTTTATAACCAAACGTTCATAGAACACACTGTTTCTGGAACCATACAAATTCATATGAATAAATCGTTTTAAAAACATGATATGTTTAGGGGATATTTCTTCACATTTATATATGTGTTTTGATACACATTTAAGATAGTATTCATTTATGAATTGTGGTACGTGCTATCAAATATGTATTCACGGTTGAGAAGTGAAGTGAGCAACTAAACTAACGGGCAAAAAGAAAACGATACTAACTCGAAATCACTGATATTACAAAACGACAAACCACCATTGTGTAAAAGGAAAGTGAATTTTGATAACAGGTGTATGGGTAACATGCATGTGCATACACATGCCCATACACCTGTTATTAAAATTCACTTTCCCTTTTACACAATGGTGGTTTGTCGTTTTGTAATATCAGTTATTTCGACTTGGTATCGGTTCTTTTGCCCGTTAGTTTAATATTGCAGTGTCTATAAAGTGACGACGTTGGGCCGATGCAGTGCCAATAAAGTATGCCGACGCTGAGCCGACGTAGGGCCGATGCAGGGCCGATACAGGGCCATTGAAGTTTGCCAACGTTGGGCCGACGTCTATACGATGAGCAAAACTTCATCGGCCCGATGAAGTTTGCCGACGTCGGGCCGATATTGCACACGACGTCGGGCCGATGTCGGGCCGATGATGGCATGCTACTTGGGTCAACCTCGGTTTGTGAATGTTGTGCCTGCCAAATATCACTCTGCAGTGTGTAACCAAGTTAATTTGAGTTGAGTGAGTGAGTTTAGTTTTACGTCGCACTCAGCAATTTTCAAGCTGTATGGCGGCGGTCTGTAAATAATCGAGTCTGGACCAGACACGCAAGTGATCAACAACATAAGCATCGATCTACGCAATTGGGATACACTGACATGACATTGTGTCAACCAATTTAAGCCTGACCCCCCGATCCCGTTAGTCGCCTCTTACTACAAACATGGGCTACTGAAAATCAATTCTAACCCGGATCTTCACGGACCGCCTCCGTGGTGTAGTGGTTAGAGCGTCCGCCCGGAGAGCGGAAGGTCGCGGGTTCGATCCCCGACCGCGTCATACCAAAAGACGTTAAATATGGTACTTGTTGGTCCCTGCCTGGCGCTCGGCATTAATGGGTACAAAAAGGACTGGTCGGCTCGGAGTCAGTATAATGTGTCTGAGTGGGGTATTCATGCTTCACTGCGGCATGGTATCTCAGTGGGCTAGCACTATAAAACCAGCTTCAGTCTGGGCTAGTACAAGCCGCACATACACTTACACACGCATGCACGTCGTCATATGAGCGAAATATTCTCAAGCACGACGTTAAACCCAATTTCACCTCACCTCACCGGATCTTGACGGGTTAATTTGAGTTGAACTGAGTTGAAAAAGAACATGTATTTATCACAGCTTGTACCAGGTAAAACTAATTCACAAAGTCACTGGTTTGGAGTGAGTGAGTATGGTTTTATGCCGCTTTTAGCAATATTCCAGCAATATCACGGCGGGGGACATCAGAAATGGGCTTCACACATTGTACCAATTGTCGCTGTCTTTGGCGTGACGAGCGACAGCTTTAACCACTAGGCTACGCAACCGCCCTACTAGTTTGGAAAGTATTATGGTAATAATAAAGAACATTTAAAGGTTTAGTTGTCAATATTAATGTTGGTAGATATGTTACCGCTCACACGTTCCCTGTCATGTAATCCTCTATGTGTTTCCTTAGCCCGATCACTGCATTCTTCGTGACATTCACGACACACACGATTGTAATAACTGGAGGGGGCGGTGGGGTAGATTTGTGCTTAAAACGTTCGCTCGTCACGCCGAATCCCCCACATGGGAAGAATGTGTGACGCACATATCTGGTGACCCCGCCGTGATATTGCTGGAAAGCGGCGTAAAACCCAAGTCCCTCATTCACTATTGCCACATTCTTCATATCAAGACAAACACTTGCTTGATTGTAATAACTTGAGGGGTTGTGGGGTAGCCTAGTGGTTACAAGCGTTGGCTCGTCCCGCCGAAATCCCGGGTTCAATTCCCCACATGGGTAGAATGTCTGAAACCCAAATCTGGTGTCCCCCATCATGATATTGCTGGAATATTGCTAAAAGCGGCGTAAAACGAAACTTACTCACTCACTCAAGCACTATTACCACATACTTCATATCAAGACACACATTTGCTCGATTGCAATAATTTTAGTGGCAGTTGGGTAGATTAGTGGTTAAGGCGTTCGCTCGAACCCATGTTCGAGTCCCCACATGGGTAGACTGTGTGAAGCCAAGTTCTGGTGTCCCCCGCCGTGATATTGCTGGAATATTGCTAAAAGCGGCGTAAAACTAAACTCACTCACTCACTTATAACTGGACTAAGAACCATTCATGTCTACATTAACATCAGCTTTGTTTACTTCAGCTTAGTAAATAATACCTCTAAAGTGAGGAGTATTCGGTGCATGTATTAATTGAGCGTGTAACATCACAGAAATAAATGAATCCCCATTTTCTATTTGAAACACCCCTTCGCAAGTTATGATCACTTAGCTTCATTTGACAAATTGACACGCATGAATACAATTATGTGTTAAAAGTCCTTTATTGTTAACGAAGGTTCCTCTATGTTTTCAATGTCATGAACGTATATGTTAATATCTATTCTAGTAGTTATCGAAGAGCCTAAACAAAATGTTGAGGGATGTTCCATTCTGAATATAAATCGAGTCTGGACCAGGCAATCCAGTGACTGACATCCTAAACATCGATCTACGCAATTAGAATACGATGTCATGTGTCAACCAAGTCAGCGAGCCTGACCACCCGATCGCTTCTTTTTACATGCATCCTAATCCGGATCTTCATAGGTGGGTTGTATAAAACTCACCAACACACCAATCAATATCTCCAATCAATCGCGCTGTTTCCTCCCAATGTGACCATAGCTAACCAGTATCAGCTGAGTATAATATTCCAGGCAGGTCTCCCTGTGAGAGGGACGAAGAGTGGTCAGGGAGTGGACATTCATAGAACGTAAATATTTCTGCCCCATTTTTGATCTGAATGGACCCACCGGCACCATAATACCTACTGTAGGAAGCTGTCTGGACACTCAGGACATATATCAGACCGGGTTCCAGTACCACGGGTCTACCAAACTCAATGGACGTTGTTTCCTGTCCTTCAGAGGTTGTCAGCTGGACTGTCTCTTCGTGAAGGACATCCCCTAAATGGGAGAAAAGTTTCACTGTCACTGCATACTCCGCCCTTCTTCCTCTGTACAACAGCAGACCCCGTAGAGCCACGAGTTTTGTGCAGGAAAGGGCAAGACCAAGCCTTCGATTGGCATCAGTATTTTCCAGAATCTCGTCACCCAGGGGACCCACATTGTGGGTGAACCGAACACAGGTCCTTGTATCAGGAGTGAGGGTGACTGGACTCCCCACTCTTCTGACCGTCCCGAACAGCCCCGCTGACCTGTCAGCTCCAGTTAGATATCTGAAGATACTAACTTTCTCCGCGTCGGTCAGCAGGTCCCGGTGGGCAATCTGGGAAGCAAAGTAATTCATCCCCAACAGCGGAAATCGGATGCTATAAAGCAACTGACCTAAGCTATCACGGAGGTTCAGGTCAGTGATGCTTGTGTTGTTTTGCTCCAGCCTTGTTCTCGCCCACTCTAGAAGTCGTTGGTACACAGTAACTTCTCTTGCACGGAGACTGTCCGGAGTGATTATACGCCAAACACATTCGTGACACAAGTGTAAGAAACCGTAGGACCTAATGACTGTTTCGCCATGATTCAAAGCTAACTCGACACAGGTGTTGCCAAGGTCCTCCTCCTGGTGGTGGTGGGCCTGTTCCAGGAAGTGACAAACATTGTCGTCAGACAGATGGGATGTAATGAAAGCAATGCAGTTGTCTCTCAACGCTCCAATGTTGAATTCCTTGGATAAGTGCAGAACTCCGATCACCGTGTCAATAGTGAGATGGGACATGTCCGTATAGCAGTATCTGAAATAAACATAATAATCTACATTACTATGGCGATGTTAACTTAGCTGACGTAAGTAGTGTATAAACACGCTATATCAGAGACAGATTTTTCAGATGGACCGATTTGTATTTGTAAGGAAACAGCACCGAGGAGAGAGAAAGTGAGTTTAGTTTTACGCCGCTTTAGCACTATTCCTGCATTATCACGGCGGAGCAACACCAGAAATAGGCTTCACACATTGTACCCATGCGGGGAATCGAACCTGGGTCTTCGGCGTAACGAGCGGACGCTTAACCATTAGGCTACCCCACCGCCCCGGCAGAAATACAGGAAAGGGAAGACAGTCACAGTTAAGGCACTGATTGGTAATGGCAAAATCCAAATAGTGATTATCGCCCACAGAACTGTCTGGATTACCTCCTGGCATCTATTTGTTGATAAGGAGTAAGAATATACGCCAAATGATGGTGTTCCTCAAAATAATGAAATTAAGATGCACAAATTCTCGCCTTAACATGTACTGAAACCATGCATTTATCAATACCATAGCACCCCCCCCACCCCCTCCCCTCACACACATGTACATACGCGCGCGCACACACACACACACACGCTTACACACACGTACCCCTTTTGGGGAAATCAGATTCCCGTGGTGGTAATTAAAAACCTATTCGTTTGTGTCCAAAACATGACCAAACACAAATGGAAACTTCTACCTTAATACACATATCAGATCTTCGGGTGTGGCACTTGGCAATGGATATGGTAGTCCAAATGCTGGCCTGGACAGAAAGTGGCATAAGGTCTGACTTCGACTTTTCAGAATATAACTGTGAGCTCGAATAATCTCCTTTGATTGGCCAACTTCAAACGTGACGTCACAACCCAGCTGTTGCTCTAGCATGTATCTGTTGCACTCGGTACTGCTCTTTCCGGTTTGCCAGTCGGGGGATAGAGTTGTGTCCCTTGTCGTCGCTCTCCGCATGGTTGAGTTATCTGAAACCTGCAGTTGATAGGACTTTGTTATGGAAAACCTGGATTTACGTCTCTTTAAATAGCATTTAAGATATGTCACGGTGATGCAAGTCTCAAGCCTACAAATACTGTCGATCAGGGCGTTTACAGGATTCAAACATCAGTCCAGGTTATACGACACCCAATCATATTCCTTCAGTGCAGGCATAAACATCAGCTGTGATTGGATGATTTTGTGTAAATGTTTTGTGTTTTTCAAATGTACATCCAACCAGTAATTAAACTGACCAGTATTTTCAATGTTTTGTGCTGTCGTTTTGTAGATAGATAGATAGATCGATCGATAGATAGATAGATAACGATAGATAGATTTCAGTAACGTAGGCCATTGGCCCATAATACAACATAATACAAATAGAAATAATACATACATGGTGGATGTGGGATATCGATTGAAATACAAGGTCAGTTGATTGTAATGGTAGGTGTACTTCTTAGTTTTAATACAGCAGGCAGGAATGTACTTAATAATTTTAGATAGTTTATGTTGTTGCAGGTGATTAAACGCAGAAAGGTTTCGATTGTTGGAGGGTGGGTCTAGTGGGTTGTGAAACCCTACTTTCTTATTTCAGAATATTTACCACAGATAAGTAGGACATTGAGCTCGTCTTCAACATAGTTTAAACCAACAGAGTGGCGGTAGAGGCAGAGACGTTGATCATAGGGTGTATTTGTGTGACGACCGGTTTCCACTGCAAGTCTAAAGTTGTTACAGCGGAACATAGCTATAACATTCCGTTGATATGGTTGGAGGTCACAGGACAAGTAGTGTTGAACATTAAGTAAAGATTTAATTGTGAATAGTATTTACATTTAGATGAAGAGTCAAGTGTGGAGCGCCAACATTGAAGGAAGCAGTCATAAAATCGCTGCTTGAAGCTAGATATAAATGTTTTAATGCAGCCAATATCTTGCGAGATCCACACAAACCAAAAACCATACTGAAAAAGGATTTGTCTTATGTGTGAAGCCCAGGTAGATTTATTATTATCAAGAGATTTGAGCATTTGGTATGCTTGATAAGGATGTCTATGGTGCTGAAGCTGCATCAGTCTGCACCAGTACTTTACTGCTCTAGAAGTATAGTGATATTGCAGTGAGAGTCTGCCACACTCTCCAAGCACCATGCTATTGTTGGTATACTTGCTGACTTTGAGAAAAGTCTTACAGATTTTAATATGTACAGTTTCAATTTGTTTCCAATAAGTAGTTCCCCAAATCTCTGATCCATAACACAGAATATGTGCAATCATGGAGTCAAATATCTTAAAAACGTCAAAGTGATTAATACATCCATGATACAAAATGTTGGTGTGTGTGTGTGTGTGAAAGAGAGAATTGACCGTTATTTTAATATATGAATGATACGTAATGTTGAGGTGTGTGTGTGTGTGTATGTGTGTGAGAGAGAGAGAGAGAGTGTGTGTGTGTATGTGTATGTGTGTGTCTTCAAATAAAAGAAGAGTTTCATGTTTATATTGTATGGAAGCTTGGCTAGTTAGGAATTTGTTATTCATGCATAGGATACAATGTGCACCTGAACATGAAATCTTTTGCCTGAATTTCTTGAATGTACATGTATTATGTAATACAGTGCTACACTCTTATTATTCTGTCATTTATGTTATTGTGTTAAACAGAAAAAAATGGTTCCACGACACAAATCTTTACCTGTCCATACACATTTTCAACAAATATTGTGATTCTTATGTCGATATTCCTGTCAGCAAACCTCAGCTGAAATCGTGTTTTCAATTTTGTGATTATCAGGGTGTGTGTTTTAAAACGATGTCTGTTTATTATAGAGCTTATCCCTACTACTGAGGAATTTGTGTAATTATTGTCACATCAGCTAACATGTGATGTTAATTTGGCAGTTTGAAACAATATCATAACTTTTCATATTGAAGACGTATAATTTATTAAATGTACTTTGTAACGTATTCGCTACCTCATTCACAATGCTTATAAGGACGTGGGACACGTCCTTTTTCACAGAAAGGGCTTATGTCGTAGGCACTTTGATGGGGTATGGGTTTTATCGGGAAATATAGACATGTTTGTATATTCTCTTAGTTAAGTTAAAGTTGTGTTATCTAAGTTTAACATTGTGGATGAGGTGCATGCTGGATACTGCAGGTTGACCATACATGTATCGTAATACGATACAGGGCAGCCTGACAGTCAGTAGTATATAGACAATGAATTCTTAATGTAACGGGACTTGACCCTCGGACAGCGGCTAGGCAGGTGGGCTGACGATCGTCTCTGTGATGCTGCCTGGCCGTTGCTGCACTATCATGTAATTACAAACTTAGCTGCCGAATAAAGTGTTGTGGACCCACTGATGGACTTCTGTATTTGAAGAGACAGATATCCCCCCAAAACGCTTTAACCAGCCCGGGATACATGCTAGCACTTTCCTATAAAGCTGAACAGTTATACCATGAGTATTTAGAGTGAAATATCAATAACATCTATTAAACTCGACTGCCGACTGCTTTTTCCTTCCAGGAGTATAATACTGCAGCTATACACATGCGAATAGGTAATGATAACGCCCACATTAACAAGACCACAGAGTACACTACAGGTCAGGATGACCTTGGGACCATCAAGGAGCTAAGTAGGTCAACTGTATAAACAAACTTGCGTGATACATGCAAGATTGCATGGTCCGGACTTGTTTATATCCTAGTTGTCAGATGCTATCTCGGATCAGAATACTGATATTATTAGAATATAGCAATTAAATGTTATTAAAATAAAGACGTAATTAAAGTACTGAAGGAGGTGTTTTATGCGGTTTCGTGATTATTTACAATCATGTCACAAAAGTATTATTTAATGTATTTCGGCATGGACGATTAACAGTTTTCTGAATAAAATATTAAGGACAATACCGATTTATTTTACGATCACAACACTCAGTTTTGGCATCTCTAATACGACGACTTAAATTACTTTTGATCATAGTTTCTTTCTTCCACTTGTTAAGAGAGGGTAGCCCTCACATCTTATATAACACAAACCACCAAAGTGGCATCTATTGGCAGCTTATTGCAAATGGAAACCTCTACCTTAATACACATAAATATCGCAACATTCCAAGCATAAACTGTCTTTTCCCGAGGGCTTTGTGGTTTGAAAAAAAACCTTTGAAGAAGCAAAGTGCAGTTGCTGAATGCACCACGTTATGCAACAGGCTAATACTGTTATAGACGGACATTGCATCATTTATTTATACTTGTAAACCCTGTTACACAACAAATCAAATTGCGTTCTATGAGATACTGTGAACTCACCTATTAAGCAATAACTGACAGCTATCTGGTCTGTTTCGACGTCGCTAACGTTGTGCTGTTGCTCGATCAATTTAAGTTATGTGTCAACACAGTACTTCCTAGAACACCATTGCCGACAGCCTCTTGTCACAAACCGAAAGTACATAGTACACACGAGCCACCTACCACTCGACAAGCAGCTTATCAAATTGATTTTGTTTGGCTTTTTTTGTCATAGTCAGGCGGAACGATATCTCGTTGTGCTTAACGACAGGCCGTGTAATGTTCAGGTTTGTTGTTTTACGCCCCACTCAGCGTTATTGCATCTGTATGGCGGCGGTCTGTAAATAATCGAGTCGGGACCACACTATCCAGAGAAAAACATCATGAGCATCGACCTACGCAATTGGGATACGATGACATGTGTCAACCAATTCAGCGAGCCTGACCACCCGATCCCGTTAGTCGCATCTTACGACAAGCATGGCTAAAAGCTAAAAGCGGCGTAAAGCTAAACTCACTCCCCTCCCCTGCTCGATACCATGGCCCACGTGCATAAAGCAATCTTAAAGGTCACATGCTACCAGAAAATCAAACATAATTAAAACATAATTATCACTTCTTCATGACATATAATATGCATTGCTGATTATGAAAAAACAAATAAACAAAATTATAAGCGTATAATCGCAAATCAAAAGTGCAATATTTTGTACTTGGGTTTACCTCCCTCGAAACGAAGCAGCCGGGATACCGAACCCAGTCAGAGCGGGTGGGTGTGCACTCAAGTGTAACGGCTGGTTCATTTGCAGATGCCGCCCTCACAGCTCATTGTGTGTGTATATATAGAGATGTTGGGTTTTGTAAATACATGCTCATTTTTTGTGTATAACATTTTGCAATCAACAGACATCATAACGTGTCATGTGTTCAAGTATCACACCTGCCTGTCTGTGTAATTACATAATGTGACAGAGACCGAACTCGGGCCATAAATCAATGCGTTTTGTTTATGGTGTATAGCCTGATTGGTGTTAAGTTCAAATTGCATGTGGTCAGTGATAGCAGTTGTGTATTGAATATTGTCATTAGCAGACAGGCAGGCAGACACACAGGTGTCAATAAAACAAGACATTGAGTTTTGTCTGTGACAACGACATATCTATATCACAGTTAGAAATTGTGTGAACGCTAAATAATGACATTGCTTTTAAGTATCGAACTGAACAAGTGACTCGGTAAGAAGAACGTGTAGTGAAATAGACAAATGAAATTATATAAACAGTTTATTTACTGTCATAACATATAAAAAGCTCGCGCCTGTGAGATATCAACACAACATTATGAAAATAGCTCACGAAAGCCTTCACCGAGTATACACCAGACAGCCCGCTTCCAAGTTGCGCGAACCTATTTCACTGCGCACATGCTATGAGCGCAGCCCAGCTGTTGAAACCCGTTTTCCCCCGAAATTTTCGGGGGAAAGTCAGCGAATCGTTTGAACTCCGATTTCGCGCGGTTTTTTTTATCGCGTTATTTTTCAACTTTATAACTTGAATTTGCATTTTGGATGATTTGTTTCGGTACGTCCATACCGAAAGGTATCAGAATCTCCAAAGTTGTGTTTTACGTTGCATGTGACCTTTAACTCAAAGGTCTATGTTAGAGTATGGGAGTTGGGAGCATCGTAACGCTAAGATCGCTTTGTGCAAATGGGCCCGTAACTGACACGAAACATTGCAGCTTTACTTATATGCAAGGGTATTTTATTCTCTCATTTCCAGTGAAGAACTTAATGTGGCTCAAATTAAGCATAACCATAGTACAGGTGCATTATTGTTTCACACTTAGTTTTGTAAGAGAACCCGCACAAATATTACTTTGATTGCATGAGGAGAAGATACATTAGTATCTTTGCACAGAAGCACCACAGGTAGCAAGAACTGGACCCGTGAAGGACCGGGTTAGAATTGATCTTCAGCAAACCATGCTTGTCGTAAGATGCGACTAACGGGATCGGGTGGTCCGGCTTGCTGACCTATGTCATCGTATCCCAATTGCATAGATCGATGCTCATGCTGTTAATCACTGGATTGTCTGGTCCAGATTCGATTATTTACAAACTGCCACCATATAGCTGGAATATTCTTGGATGTGGCGTTAAACAACAAACAACCACAACATCTGGACTACTGCTCAGAAAACAACATCGCTATTGTCTTTTTTCAAGTATTTTATATTTCATTAGTAATTATCATCGACTGTGCTGTATAGCCTGCTCAAAATATTTTACACTCTAGATAGGGGTTAATATTTCTATACCCTGTTCCACTTCATACCCATGTCGGGACGATGGGTGTAGAGTAGAAGTTAAAGCGTTCGCTCGTCACGCTGGAGGCCCGGGTTCAATTCCCCACATGGATACCATGTGACAGTGACTGTGTGAAGCCCATTTCTGGTGACCCCGCTTTGATATTGCTGGAATATTGCTAAAAGCGGCGTTAAACCATACTCACGTACTCACTTATACCTGACTTATCATCCTACACCACATTTACCCCAATATTAGTGATTTCGCTTCCCGGATTTGTCGCAAATAGGTTACCTTCTAAAGCTTGATGGAATAATCAGACTCACGGTCCTCCTTTCCTGCTGTAAAATAAGACAATCATGAGTGCTGTTTTGAAACCCGAAACGTTGAAACCTGCTTTGTGTTTAATGTACGAAAATGAACATTTCGTCATCATTTGACTACCAGTCACTCACCTCAGGTACAAGACGTCAAACTACAGTGGTAACAGGCCTGTTGATAAGTAGGGTTGGTGTGTGTGTGTGTGTGTGTGTGTGTGAGAGAGAGAGAGAGAGAGAGAGAGAGAGAGAGAGAGAGAGAGAGAGAGAGAGAGAGAGAGAGAGAGAGAGAGAGAGAGAGAGAGAGAGATCCGGGATAAATTGATCTTCAGCAAACCATGCTTGTCGTAAGATGTGACTAACTGGATCGGGTGGTCAGGTTCGCTGACTTGGTTGACACATGTCATCGTATCCCATTTGTGTAGATCGATGCTCATGATGTTGATTACTGGATTGTCTGGTCCAGACTCGATTTATGTGAATAGAGTGAGTGGGCATTTCACAAGTTACCATGGAAGACAATTCATCAATAGAATTGCTAATCAATATATTTCAAACTTCCTTATAAATTTTGGCTTCTTTATGTCAAAGATAACACGGCCATGTTGAAAGTTTACAGCGACCCACATACTTGCGAGCAGCAGGGATTTGCAACTTACCATTCTACCTGGCACTGTACAATAAGGGTGCCAAACATGGATAGATTGCAAGAAACAATCGACCCAGCGATTTCCTATAATGACGTCGGTAGGGTCATACTCTTTCTAGTGAGAGAGTGAGTGAGTTTAATTTTAGTCACTTGTAGCAATACTCCAGCAATATCTGGGGGTCACCAAAAATAGGCTCCACACATTGTACCAATGTGGAGAATCGAAACCCTGTCCTTAGGCGTCATACTCTTTCTAGGATTATTTTAATGACCAGTTTTGGTGGTTTTGAAACTTCCCGTATAATCTGCCATTTGTTTCCCTTTTAAACAAACAAACCCACGAGATTACTGAACTTAAATATTAGCCGCATTGAATCGTGTGAAAATTAAATCCGTTTTAATTATCCAGATAACGAAAAAAAGATGACGAGTAAGCTGCACTAAGTGTTCAATTGTTCGTGATATCCATGGCAAAGGCATATAATCTTGGCACCCAGCGACTCGGCTTTAAGGTCATAAGCTGTTGCATGTGATGAACGAGCGGAGTACCCGTCATTACTGATACAAGCATGTGAGTATAGACTTTTTCTTATTTCTTACTGTCTACAGTTTCTGTCAAATCTGGTGGTGCCTCAGTACTGACGTTAATAGAATTTTGAAATATCCTTTGAATAGAAGTAAAACAGACTCGCTGACTTGGTTGACACATGTCATCGTGTCCCAGTTGCGTAGATCGATATTCATGATGTTAAACACTGGATTGTCTGGTCCAGACTAGGCTATTTACAGACCGTCGCCATATAGCTGGAATATTGCTGAGTGAAGCGTAAAACTCACTCACTCACTCACTCAGTTTTGGCAACTGTGATCACATCTGGAAGGTCTTACAAAAGACCAAGAACTGCTCTTAGAAATGGTACGACGTGATTCCTCAGACATCATATATATGTAGATCTGTTAGAGTACACATTGTACCCATGTGGGGAATCGAACCGGGGTCTTCGAACACTTAAACCACCAGGCTACCCCACCGCCCCCACATAACGTGAAGGAATATATGCTGACCAGGAAGTAATGTTCTGATTAGTTTCAGATGATGGCTTCGCGACGACCCGACCCCCACGTCGACCACGCCCTGATGCTGATGCTTCTGGTGATGGCCGTGTCATACAGTAGGTTCTTTCTTGCATCACCTGTGAAGATCCGGGTTAGAATTGATCTTCAGTATCCCATGCTTGTCGTAAGAGGCGACTAACGGGATCGGGTGGTCAGGCTCGCTGACTTGGTTGACACATGTCATCTGTTCCCAACTGCGCAGTAGGATGCTCATGCTGTTGATCACTGGATTATCTGGTCCAAACTCGATTATTTACATCCCGCCGCCATATAGCTGGAATATTGCTGAGTGTGTCGTAAAACTCAACTCACTCACTTTTTCATCCATTTCACTGATGGACAGTCATACAAAACGTTTATTATTATGTCACGGATTGTGCTGTCGTTACAGAACGGTGATGGTGTTGACATGCAACCTTCTTATTTTTCTCACTGATTGTGGTGGTGGTGATTTTCATAGCGTATTCTTTATCTTTATTGATGTTGAAGTACAAACCATTTTTGTGATTTTGGATTAGTATGTTATTTAGATAGCGATGATTTTGAAACACAGAACATTATCTCATTATTCCACTGATATTGATAATTTTGACATACTCATAATCAAAGTCATAGTGATGACATGCTGGGCATTCTCTCATTTTCCTACTGATAGTGACGGTGTTGACACACAGAACATTCGCTCATGATCAAATTTATAGTGATGATTTTGGCATACAGAACATTATCTTATGATCAACCTGATGGTGATGATTTTGACATACCGAACATTCGCTCATGATCAAACTAATAGAGATGATTTTGACATACAGAACATTCTCCTACGATCAAACTAATAGAGATGATTTTGACATACAGAACATTCTC